ATTAGTATTGATATTTATCAATAGATATGTTTTATAAAAAAATAATATTTCAAAACTATGTTCGAAAAGAAAATAATTGACATTACATTTATACCGAAACACATTGCATTTTTACAATCTGTATATCAAAGTTAAAGCTTACAAACCTACTTTGACAAAAAAAGTCAAATGAAAAGATTAAATCGAGATGGAGGGAGGAGTATATATTTATACATAAATAATAGAAATATTAGTCAAAGTGTTATATTATACTCCCTCCGTCCCAAAAAGATTTACACGTTTCAAAAAAATTGTGTCTCATAATCCCTTACCCATTTCTATTAAAAAACCACTTTTACCCCTTACTATTTCAAACCCTACCTATCATATCATCCTTTTTTCCTAATAATCTACACATCACATCCTACTTTTACCCATCACATCAAGAGTATTTTTGGAAAGTCAACACAAAATTATCCCTCCCTTAATTTCAACTTTAGTCAAAATGGGTAACACTTTGTGGGACGGAGGGAGTATTAGAGACCATAACTAAATAAATAATTGCCAATACTATACTAGTGTTACGAGGAATTTACTTAAATAGCACTAAAACATAATGACTTTCTCTGAATAGCATCACATGTGTTTTTCTTCCCAATGTAGCACTTTTAGTCATTATTTAAGTAAATATTCATCATCACAGGACATTATGGACATTATTAAGTGCTATTTAGAGAGTAAAATAATTTAAGTGCTATTTAGGGAAATGACTTAAGTTTTAGTGCTATTTAGTGCAAATATTCCCTTCTGCTATTACTACCTCACGATGGGACAAGATAATTTTAGCAAAATTTGTAATAAGTGGTTCAAATACACACACCAAAGAAAGTACTCTATCTCTATCCATCATTTTGATTTTTCTCACTTTGACTTTCATGGTCAATGTTTTTAAAGTTTGACTATAAATTACCTAAACAATACTTTAAATTGTAATATAAACTTAATAGAAAAAGATTTATCTCAAATTGTAATATAAATTTAATAGAAAAAGATTTATCTTGAAACATAGTTTTGAAATATAATATTTTATTTTTATTTATATTTTTTTTGAAATAATTTATTTATTTTTAATATTATATATATAATCTTACTATTTTTAAATTTTTTCTCTCTCTTCTTGATAACTTTTGTCTATATACGCAATTTCATTAAGTATTGGATAAAATAAAAAAATTATGTTAGCTATTATTTTATAGAACTTTTGACGTAGTTTTTTAATATACAATTTTTATTTCTTATTGATATATCAATTTGGAAATAAAATAATTTCAAACCCTAACTTGTAATCAAATTTGAAACGATCTATAAATAAAGATTTTAATCATCAATGCATTGCAAAAGTATCAAAGTGGACAGAAAAAGTATTATACGGAGTATTACAAATTTGGCATAGGAAAATGGGATAACCATTTTTGAGAAATTTGTACGAACATACATTATGGGCCTTTTTTTTCAGGCGTTGACTTTTTACGAATGCAAGAGGTTGATGGTGAGAGATCTTAACATAAAAAATGCACAGCAAATACATGTCTCCTTCGAGAAATGCACAAACGTACATGCTTCTAATATAGTCGTGACCTCACCCGAGGACAGCCCCAACACCGACGGTATCCACGTAACCAGCACAAAATACATTCGAATATCGGGATGCACCATTGGAACGGGTAATTAACAAGTGAAATTGGACTAAAACATAAGTCATTTCTCATCATATGACTTAAATATTTTTATTCTCTAAATATGACTTAATAATGAGTGAGAAGAATAATGTGCAAGTGATGTTGGATATTTAGTTGCCTAATAGATAATGACCAATGGTTCTACATTGAGAAATAAAAATATGTGATCTTATATTGAGAAAGTCATTATGTTTTAGTCCTATTTAGGTAAATTACTCAATTAACAAACCTCTTTTTTTTTTCTTTCAAAAAGATTGAGTGTTTAAAATTTTGTCAAGTTATAATCAACTACGGAGTATCTAATTTATTTGTAGGTGATGACTGTATATCGATTGTTAGTGGCTCAAAAAACGTCAAGGCAAGAGATATTACTTGTGGGCCAGGGCACGGGATCAGGTGAGTAATGTAGAGCTTTTTTTAACTTATTCTTACTCCGTATTACTTATGGTTATTTTTTGTGTATATCAATTGTCAAACTAAACTAAGGCCTCGTTCCGTTTAACTTATTTTTTCTTCTTTTTTCTTAATCTTATTAAAATCAGATCAGATCTAATCAGATCAGATCAGATCAGATCTAATCAGATCAGATCAGATCCAATCAGATCTAATCTAATCTGATCAGATCAGATCCAATCAGACCAGATCAGACCAGGTCAGATCCAAATAAGAATTATTATATTATTATTGCTATTATTATTATTATTATTATTATTACTACTACTACTACTACTACTACTATTATCATTATCAATATCTTTATTACTCCTTACTTTTTAAATTCCATATTTTTTTAGTTGTTTCACTTGTATTTAAAAAATATAAGAAGAAAGAACATGAAACTTTTTGTGTCATTATAATTTATGTAGACTAAAATAAATTATATGAAGCACAATTGTTTTCTTAAGAATGAAAAATAATAAACTTTAGAAACAAGCTAAATAAAACCCGAGAAAGTAATCTTTAATTATTAATGAAAAATGTATTATTTCTTTGCTTAACATTGATAATATAAGGATGTGATCTTTTAATAAAAATATTAATGATTATTAATAACATTGATTATCAATATTATTCATTAAAAAAATCATAAAATAAAAAATATTATTACGTTATAATATGAATGATTATTCTAATATATGAGTTAATTAATTTTGTTTCATTAAAAAATAATCATAAAAAAATATTGATTATATTATAATATGAATTATCATTACAATTTTCAATCAGATCAGAACCAATTAGATCAGATCAGATCTAATCAAATCAGATCAAATCCGATCAGATCAGATCAGATCCGATCAGATCAGAACTTATTAAAATCAGATCAGATCAGAAAAAATAAGTTGAACGGAACGGAGCCTAAGAAGATGTTCACTGTGTTGGTCGTTAAGTATTTCCTTATATATGGTTGATAAGTAATTTTTATTATATAAACTACCTATAAGTTAAATATTCATAAATGATGAGAAATAATTTTGTAAATAATTTAGTCAAAACGGTGAAGCGATAGTCTTAAAAGTATGTAGGTAAGACCTATTTATTTTATCTGATTTGTAAGCAACTTATAAACATAGAAAAACACGTTATCAGCTAACTTATAAGTTAAAAACTGTTCATAAACAACTTCAATCAGTTTCTAAGAATAGAGAAACACATACGAAATACAAGTTGTAAAAACTTTTTTCACTTTCGAAAAAATGATATGTAAGATAGGTATAGTATGAGTCTTATATATTGACCTATTTTGGTTATTTATTGTTTTTAAGTGAGAATAAGATATGATTGATACTCCCTCCGTCCTAAAACTTTCTTCCCAGTTTGACTTTTCCCCATTTTTAATTTTTGGTTTTGACTTCAAATTTTACCCTCCTTAAAAAAGATTTTTTGCAAATTTTTTTTTTACAATAATTCAAAATATAGAGTTAGAAGATAATTGGTGTAAATACATGAGGGTATTAATGTCATTTGTTATCTTTTTTTTTCTAATGGGAAGGTAGTTTTAGGACGGAGAAAAAAGGGAAATGAGAAGAAAGTTTTAGGACAGAGGGAGTATATTAATACTCCCTCCGTCCTATAATGATCTTCCCGGTTCGGAAAAAGAAGAAAAATCTCAAGTTTTTTCAATCTATTTTATTTAAATATTGGTATAGAAATAAAAAATAAAACATACATATTTAAAAACTACATCAAAAGATCAACAAAACAAATGGTGACAAGAATATTTTATTTTATCATATAGACCATGAAAAAACACAAATAAATATAAATTCCCGTGAAGTTAGAATAATGCTCTGGGAAGATCATTATAGGACGGAGAAAGTAATAAATATTTATGATGTAATATGTACGGAGTATGTTATTTAGTACGGTTTAGTTGATAGGGTAAAACATACCCCCTTCGTCCCTAAATATTTGCCACACTTGTATATCCGAGTTAAATATCAAGTTTTTTCAATTCATTTTATTTACATATTGGTATAGAAATAAAAAATAAAATTTACATATCAAAAAACTACATGAAAATTTTTTCGAAATAAGAGGTGTCAAAAATATTTTATTTTATCAAATAACCAATGAAAACGTAGAAATAAACAAAAGTTCCCGCGACTGCTGAAAAAGCAAATGTTGTAAATATTTTAGGACGGAGGGAGTATATACCTACTTCGTTTTAACAGTTCCTTTATTTTTTATTTTTTTTGTTTTGTTCCAATTAAGCACCTCAACTTTTGCAAAAAAGAATAACTAATACCCCTAGTATATCTAAATAAAGTTATTGCGATATACTATATTCATTTTGCAAAATATATACTCCCTCCGTCCCGGAAAACATAGGAGTTTTGATTTTGAAGGGGGATTTAATAGGAGTGTATTTTGGTATTGAATTTCCAAAAATGTCCTTTGATGTGATGGGTAAAAGTATGATTTGATGAATAGATTATTAGTAAAAAAGGTATGATGTGATAGGTAGGGTATAAGAAGTAAGGGGTAAAAGTGACTTTTTAATAGAAATGAGAAGTGTTTTTTGGGACAAATGAAAAAAGAAAGGAGAAAGATTTTCTGGGACGGAGGGAGTAATACTTTATTATATTGATTTATTTACCTTTTTTGTTCAACACTAAAGATATACTCTCTCCGTCTCTGGAACCCTTCTCTCCTTTTTCAACCATATGTTCCAAAAAAAATTTCTCATTTCTATTAAAATGTCACTTTACCCAACAAATCTTACTTTTACTCATCACATCTAAGGATATGATATTTTTAGAAACTCAACACCAAGATACACCCCCTTAAATTTCTTACAAATCAAAATCTCTCATGCTTTCAGGGATGGAGGGAGTAATTAGAAAGTAAAATTACAAAAATAAATCTGCCAAAAATCAAAATAAAAAGAGTGTAATTGAAGTAGAAAAAGTTTTTTTGCGACGTAGAGAGAAGAAAGATGTTTTGGGTCTTTAAACTTCATTTTTTAATAGAAAGTCATTATGTATTATGTTTTAGTGCTGTTTAAATAAATTCCTCTTTTAATATGTGGTGATGGATGGATGGAGTTTATAGCATTGGAAGCTTAGGAGCTGGAAATTCGAAAGCTTACGTGTCTAACGTTGTTGTGAACGGAGCAAAGCTGTCTGGAACCGCAAATGGGGTCAGGATCAAGACCTGGCAGGTAAATTAATTACTTATCAATAGTTCATTATATCAACTCTACTTGCTCGAGACAAAATATTAAGTTTTTTCAATTTATTTTATTTACATATTGATATAAAAATAAAAAATAAAATTTGCATATAAAAAAACTACATGAAAAGTTCTTCGAAATAAGAAGTGCCAAGAATATTTTATTTTATCAAATATTTTTATAAATTTATGTATAGTACTCCACACTACTTAATTTGTAACATTATGTATATATATATAGGGAGGATCGGGGACGGCAAGCAACATCAAATTTAAGAACATACAAATGCATGGTGTGGAGAACCCTATAATTTTAGACCAAAACTATTGCGACCAAAAGAAGCCATGCAAGGAAGAGGTAATTAAACTAATAAAGAAATACTTATTACTCCCTCTGTTCTATAACACGTGCACCTTCCAATTGCGTTTTACGATGTTTGAAAAAAAAAATATTTAATTTAATTTTTAGAAAAACAACTGGGGAAAAATAATGTATATATATTTAAAAGCTAAATAAAAAACTTACAGAACTAGAATGATACTCCCTCCGTCCTAAAATTAACTTCTCATTTGACTTTTCACGGTCTCCAATACGACACTTTGATCATCAATATCTCAATTTTTATAGAAATATATTTTATAAAAAATATATATTTCAAAACTATGTTTCAAAATGAATCTATTGCTAATAAGTTTATATGAAAATTCAATGTATTTTTTCCGTAATATATGGTCAAAGTTTAAAAAGTTTGACTACAAAAGTCAAACTGGAAAGTTAATTTTAGGACGGAGGGAGTATATATCATTAAATTTTCTTATCAAATAAATATAAAAAATAGGCTAACAAAATGGATAGTAAACAGGTATGAAAAAAGTTTTAAGACGGAGAGAGTAGTATTTACCCCGTAATTAGTTAATTCTTCATTCATCTCATATCTTTGTTCATATTTGATTTTTCTAGAACTTCAATATAACACTTTGACCATTAATATTTTTACTTATATATAAATATAAATTATAAGAAAATGTGATATTTCAAAACTACGTTTCAAAATGAATCTATTGATATTGAGTTTATGATAAATACCAGACGCAAACCAAAATGTATATCCTAGTTGTACGTAGTACGTACATCAGAGACAAACACAGACATGTTATGTCTGTTCCGGCACATGCATTAGGTCTGTGTTAATTGATGCACACTTTTTAAGGTAACCCTAACATTCATCTCTTAAATCTACATCGCAATCCAATGCATTTTTTCCATAAATAATTATAGTCAAACTTTAAAAATATATATTAACCATAAAAATGAAAATGAGAAGAAAAATATATAATATAGGAGAGGGAGGAGTAATTAATTAGCTGGACTCTTAAATTAAACATATATATAGGGAGTATATATATATATATATATATATATATATATATATATATATATATATATATATATATATATAAAATTAATTAAATATCCATACGAGTATGTATACATACGAGAGGATTTGGTTATATAATAAGCGGCCTAACATTTATTATTTATCTATATGTATGCATGGATGGAGATAGAGCTCGAATGTGGAAGTGAAAGATGTTGAATACGAAAACATATCAGGAACGAGTGCTACGGAGACGGCGATCGAGTTTGATTGCAGCAAGAGGTATCCGTGCCAAGGGATTGTTCTTCGCAATGTGAATTTGAAAAGGGAAGGAGGCGGCGGTGACGCTAAGGCTTCATGCAACAATGTGAGCTTCAGAAATCATGTTGAGAGTGACGGTGTCTCGCCATTATGTAGTAATTAATTATTTAATTACTTCACCTCACATTACACACACTATTTATTAGCTGTGCTGTACTACTTTGTATGCATGCAGTATATTTTAATTAATGTGAGTATATGAATAAGGAAAACATATATTGATGTTCACAAGAACTGCATGAGCTACTACAATATACTCCCTCCGTCCCTAAATAAAGTTCCATTAACGTGACTTAAAAAAGGCTAAATGGAAATCTATTTAAAAAAATCCTTTTGGTGAAAAGTATTACTTGGCACCATTATAGTGACATCTTAAGCAATTTAATTGCTAAACTAGACCAATTATTCGTCACTTAACAATAAAAACTCATAAAGTTTTTGTTAAGTGACGATGAAACGAATCAACTATCAACTAAAACACTTTAGAAAAATGAAAGAGGAACTCTATTTAGGGACGGAGGGAGTAATTGATACCATTGATTGTCTAAGAAACTCATATATAGGATCAAAGAATTCAGCTTGCTGTTTGTCTATTTTCGTTACTTAATTGATAAAAAATGTAGTAATGTAACATCTAGTTTTGTAAATCTTTTGATAGACTTAATTTTTAAATACATAGTTTTTATTTTTTTAACTTTATATCTCCAATCAAATAAATTGAATTCAAATAAAATTGTTCAAGTCTCGTAACACGTAATGAGCCAACTTAGACGGAGTGAGTAATTAAGATAATTGATTTTATATCTTGACTAAAATAGTAAACTCACTTGTAGTTTTGAAACTCTCTAAAGTATCACAACCTCTAGGTCGGGTCAAGAGAACACTCAATATATTTTACTTCAAGATTCAAGATGTCTTACAAGCTATTCATAGGGAATAATTAGTAATAAGCTACACGCTAATTAAATTAATAAAAAAAACAAATCTTAAATTAAATCATATAAAATATTCTTGAAAGATCTCCCAAGATGTTTGTCTTTCAACATCCAAGATTCCCAAGTGAGATTAGCACAACTTATCCACTTTGTCTCATAATTACCAAGTAATGACATTGACAAACACTTTTGGTAAAATCCCCGTCTTAAATCAAGATAATCTACTATAGAAATTTGGTCCTACATGATCAATCAAGGGTCAACTTAATATCTTTTTTTGCAAGATGGAATCATTTAATCAATTAAAATAGATATTAAGTCATGAAGGAAATTACGTAGAAATTTTCTAGGCTAAATTTCACTGTTGGTCCTTCAAGTTATTGCATCATGCAAAGTTAGTCATTCAACTTCGAAAATTTCATGAATACTTTTTTAAGTCACGTTAAGGGACTGCAACGGGTCGGTTTTGGGCTAGAGAGTATGATACCCGAACATGACTCGACTTTTAAACTCGAAACTAAACACGAATATGACTTTTTAACATGAAACCCGACCCGAATCTGACTTTAAAATCCAAAACCCGAACACGAACTCAACCTCGAAATTTAAGTAATAACCAATTTTAACCAAGCTTTTAACTAAACATCTGACTTGAACCCGATCAGAATATTTACACATTAAGTTATTACATTTGCATATAAAAAATCAGAATATATTTTATATCATACAAAGTACTCCTTAGTAAAAAAAAATAAGTGCAAGAGGACATAATTAACAAGATCGGTAACACTACAAGAAAAATGCTCTTTAATGTGAATAAATACTGTAGTTAAAGTAAAGAAAACTCTCATTAAAACATTTTAGTGAGAGGAAATTTACTCTCATGAACCGTCACTATCCTATAGCTTCCGCAGTTAATTACAAAAAATGACGGACTCCAGGTTCTCTCATTAAAAACTATTTAATGAGAGTACATTTACCGTCATCTAAATATTCTTTTTATGACAAAAAATCCTGTCACAAATACAATTAAAATTATTTAAAAATTCTACACAATTATAATTTTTTATGATTGAATATATTGTCATTAATATATATATATATATATATATATATATATATATATATATATATATTAATGCTCTTTTTATAGTACTCGTATAAAGTACAATCAATACTACAATAATTGTTCATAATTATAATTTTTTATTCGATATAAATAAGTTTATTGAAAAAGCAAAATTGAAAAGTATAAGAAGGGGAAGACCAAACAGAAGCCCTTTGTGAGATGAAACAAAACTACAAAATGCTAACAAGAAGAAATACTCTCTCCCTTCCTAAACAAACTTCCCTTTTTGACTTTTTGAGGATTTAAGAGAGGGATATTTTTGTGTTGACTTTCCAAAAATACCCTTGATGTGATGTGTAAAAGTAAGATGTGTTATGTAGATTATTACTAAAAAGGTATGATGTGATAGGTAGGGTATGAAAAGGTAATGGGTAAAAGGGGTTTTTTTAAGGGAAAAGAGAAGTTTATTTGGGGACAAAGAAAAAACGAAAGGGGAAGTTTATTTAGAGACGGAGGGAGTATAAAATTGCACCTTGCGTATACACCAATAGCAAACACCAAACATCTAGCTAGCTAGCATATAGCTCAATCTTGAAGTCAGCATATACCCAACAACAAATTCTTCGAGTCAGCATATACCATAAAACATCCACCTGCAGCATCTTAGTCTCCAGTAGACGCATGTACTGCTAAACTGCTGAATCAGCCCCAAGAAGGTTGACTTTCGTTTGACAATAGCTCTAAGACCCAGGTCGGTTCTGTGCAAAAAGTTAAGAACATTTGCAAGACATATACATTTTCATTTTCTACACATGCATTCTAAAAACAGTTTTTATGATTTAATAATATATGAGTACATTTTAGTTACACATCACCATATATAGAATGTTCAAGTAAAGGCTATGAAAAAAACAATCACTGCTTTGAGGACAAAGCTCTTGCTAAGGGGGAAGAAATAAATGATGTGGGATATATACTACCACTGCTTACTTTTTTTTTTACCTTACTATTTTCATTACCTGTAAAAGTGATAGCTAAATCTGATTGTATTAGTGGTATGTTTGAATAGGGCTGGAATAGGTATTGGACAAGCAATATAATATAATAAATCACGCATCTTCTCCAATCAATTCTCTCTCCCTCTTTTCTGCTGTAACAACTCCACGAGAACCCTTCTTCACAAAAGTTTTCCTCGGGTTGCAACATATTTCCCATTTCCAACAGTGTACAAGTGATATTGCGCCTGAGACAAAATGGAAAGAATAATTATTAACACGAAAACATGTTTTGTAACTTATGTAATCAAGAAAAAATGGAAGCTCCGTATTTCCTACTCCGTAAAATATTACTCCCTCCGTCTCAAAAAGTCTTTCCTGTTTCTTTTTTTGCGCATCCCTTAAAACACTTATATCCCGCCTTGAATGCCAAAAAAATTTTCAAAATAACTTCTACCCACAATAAAGAAGAAATGTTATAAATTTTATGCATTTTAGATGTCGGTAGAAGTGTTTTATGGGATGCGCAAAAAATGAAACAGGAAAGACTTTTTGAGACGGAGGGAGTAGCAATTTATAGTCTATCACTTGTAGACTTTAGGCACCAATAACTTCTATGCTTAGAGAAATTGTAATAAATGATTTTCTTTTGTAGTTGCAATGTTCTTCGATGGAAAGGTCACACCCCAGCCAAGGCGTTGGGGCCAGGGGGTGTTGATTGTATTGTTTTGCACGGAGTATGTTTCAATTTATGAACAAGGTTTGATTTTTTAGGATTTTTATTTTATTTATAGATGTTAGCCATTTTAATACGGATTGTTTTATTCACGATATGTAGTGTCAAAATAAAATCTTGTCACCGTTTTCATGTACATATTTCCATTGTCCACACAAGGTTTATTTTGCCTCAGTGGTTTAGACATGTAGTTTGGGTTTGCCCGTCATGTAAATCACCTCCACCCAAGAGTTATCTGAAATTTGTCCCGCCTTATAACAAACATGCCCAGATAGTTACCAATATCAAGGTCTGTGTCTCTTGGAAGGGTAAGTGCGACCTTGGAGTCACCGTTCGGGTGCCCCTAGCAATATTATTTTAGCAGTTGGAACTTGAATGTGAAAGGGAAGATTTGTAACTGCATAATATATACTGAGCTTATATTCTGATGTACAATCAAAGACCATATCAATGCATCATGCATTGTACTCTGCTACAGAAGCAAATCTAGCCCCAAATTAATACTACCAAAATTAAGTCAAGTCTAAAATTACTTTCGTAAGGCTAAATCCTGACCAAAACCGCATACAGTTAGCCAAAAGAAAAACAAACTGTTGAGGCCAATTTGTCAGCAGAAGAACATGGAGTCCTCCACCTCCTCATGCAACAAGGGCAACTCGGGAACGGGTGAGATGCTTGGAGAAGTTTCGGAGAGCTCGTCAAAGTTGATGAACTGCCCCACTTGGCGTGCAGCTAGGTGAGCATAATATACAGGTGCAACTGCATTAAGAGAGCAAATGAGATGAAGAGAGGCTGGCCCCTATTACTTTTCTCGTTACATAAATGACTAGATGTTCTTTGATTGCAAGAATTAATGTACCTAGTGAGGTGGCTGTAGTGCTCCTTTGATTCCTGAAAAAAAATTGATACAGAGAATGGTTAGTTGTTTGACTGAACTGCACAGGTTGGGATGAAAGAATGAAGTTTTTTGGGAGGTATGAAAGCTTACACGTATGATAGAGAATGGATTAGGTTTTGCAAGTCATCTGGAGAGAAGCCAATCTCATCATACAACACATGGTAATGTGCAGGTCGAGTAGTTCCCTGTTTGATAGAGAGACGGACAGATTTTCAGTTTCACAGAGGAAATTTGAATGGGCAGCTTTTGGTTCTTGTTCAGATCTCTGACTAGTTTTCTTTTCTCTATTTAAGCCCATCTAATTCCAATTCCTGGATAATCTTCAATTGTGCTCTGTTTGTTTCCAGGATAATGTTTTCTGATTTTCTTGAAAATGTTTTCCGTTATTCTTTTAGACTATTGAGGAAACAGCAAGGCAAGGCATATTCCTGGATGTTTTGTATTTTTGTAGCTATGTCAATCAAACATTATGTCTTATATATGGAACAACTGACTAGGATTTCCTAGAAAAAGATATTTTCCTTTGTGCAAACTAGGATTTTCTGAGAAAACAGATTTTCATTTTCCTTTCTGCAAATATATGAATACACACACAAAATTTAAAAGCAATCCTATTAACTTGAAAGCACTAGTTAGAAGGCAATGCTATAAGTTACCATCATCACTGTGTGAGCACACATGTAAAAGTCATATCTTCTTGGATGCACTATTTTTGTATCAACAACAGTGCCTGATGAGAGTGAGAGAGATTCAGCACATGCAGTATCATTTAGTGCTTTGAAAGCACTAGAAGCATGATGGTAAGAAAATACAGACCTGCTGGAACATTTTCGGTTGCACCAGCTTGGAATAGCCTTGTGTGGTGATTTTTCTGTGCCACAATCACAGTAAATTTGGGGACTTTAACTTCACCTAGATGCTGGTAGGCCTATAGGTGAAGAAGATTAAAAAAAACTGTTATAAGATGTTGATACTATACGGGCCAAAACAGAAGGCTATGTTATTGCTTGTTTAGAAGAGATGATTTTATTCAACTAAAAAAATGAACGATTATGTGTCAAGTTGTTTTTATGATTGTGTGTGAATCAGTGTTTGATGACATTGAAGGAGCAGTACTTTGGCAGCAGACAAAAAGATTACCTTGATAATCTGATCCAGCTCGATGTTTAAAACATGACTAAATTGTGATTCACTTACACCATCCCTGAAAATAAGATTTCTTTTCATGTTATGGAGTGATCATTATATTAACAGGGCAGGCAATCTGCAAATAAAAGCATAGGAGATGATGGGAACAGCAGACAATTTAATTTTTGAGGAAAAGAGTGACCCCCCTAGGATAGGATTATGGGAATGAGAAGAAAAATACCACATCTCACTACTGAGTTCCATCATAAATGAAGATGAATTTTACGTTCAAAGACATCGAAATTTGAACATAATGAATTTAGGCACTGCTATTTTATTCATCTTGATAAGCAACCAAATGGACATGGAATACCTGAAAACAATTATGCGAGCTGGTTTACGCCCATTGCTTGTTTGATAGAAGTCCACAAGCAGTTCTCTGTCGCACAGTATTGAATTTTCAAATAAATTGCT